CTTTTCAACTCTCGTAGGATTCATGGATACAGGTCGTACAACCACGCAATTCGCTACGACCTCATTTCGTTTCTTCAAAAGGCATTAAAATATACCTATGTATTTTCATCTTGAAATTATTTCAGCTTCTAACGATGGGAAAATGACGATATTAAAAGAGAGTACACTTCTTTCCCGCCGTCACTTTTTTCTACGAAATAAAAGCAGCCTTCCGATATCGAATATGAATCAAGTCTGCCCAACTTTGTGACTATTGTAATCGCCTATATAAAAGAATACTATATATATACATACATATATAAATATACACGTAATATAGATATTTGAATATAAAAGAAATCTATATATATACATATATATATACATACATATACATATATACATACACATATGAGGATAAGAATGCTAGATGAGGATACATATGCCGTATCGAAATTGACAATCGAGATCATTGATCCAAATTATGTATGCTACGAATCTTTTAGCAGATATCCCATACGTAATTATAAATTATCAAGGCACAGTCACGTGTAAGATAATCGTAGAGGTGTATAGACATAATGTCATCGATATAATTGTATGTATGTACCTGCGATACCGTACGATGTACATCAACGGGATAATCGATCGCGTTTGCATAGAGGAATATAGTGGAACGAGCATTTAGGAAACATTGCGAATAAGCCGTTTTCGAGTCGAGGTACATCGTTGTCGAACCGTGATCGAACGTCCCGAGAAACGAAATACAGTAAAAATTAGGGATTACATCCAAGCAACAACCTCTTCCCGTACATATCGGTGTTGTATGTACTTGTTCTAACGTCTAAGTGTCCAAAGACAATCTCATCGATTCGCGCCTATGCTTGCGTGGATCAAACGTCGGGCATGCACATTACGCGCAGGTTAAAATTAAATTCCACATAATATATCACTGTGATCGATACGAATAACGACAATTAAGCTAATAAATTCTAATTTGCTTTCCGCCAGACTCTACATACATACATGTATACAGCTGAACACGACGTAGATTTCGTTGAACGTTAGAGTATCTCTAGCCCTGTCACTATGCACGTGCATTTCTATTAAAAAAAAATTCTTCTCGCGTAACCTTTTATGTAGTCGAAAGAGGAATATGATCTCCAAAGTAAGAAAGATTCTAGACACTTAGCTCAAAGCTATTACACTATCAAAATTTTAGCGAGTAAAAAAATAAAGAGGTGCGTCTCCAGATAAAATAAAATTATCCCGAAGATAGAATTCTCAGATTCTTTTCTATAATTCGAATGTTAGAAACTATTAGATAGACACGTTTCGAATTCACTATAGCGTTATGAAAAGTTAGTAATTTTCGCTTCCGTTTATTCCTTCCAAGTGTAAGGATCAATTCGACTATAATCACGCAATTGAATGAAATCATATGAAAAGATCTGATTCGTTACCCTTCTTTAATGACCGCACAGTTTCATACAAGTTGTACAGATACTGCTCAATTACGGCCTAAATCGTAAAAGAAACAGGCAAGCGAACGCGAAGTAAATATTTTCGACAAGTGCTTGATCCTCGTAAACGGATACTTTATCGCGGGATCGATGATATCGATCGTGCTGGCGTGCTAGCGTACTTACATGTACACGTTTGTGCACGGACCGACGCTGTTCGTCGTTAGCAACGGATGATTGATTGTGCGGCTAATGACGATTGGTCAGTCGCTTGTAAAGTATATAATATCACAAAACAAATGTAATACGACTAATGCTTTAAATGTCGAGTGAAATCGATAACTGGTGTTTATGGAACGAAACAGAAAAAAAAACATGAATGCCAAAGGATGACAATAATCATCCAAGACCTATAAACGTCAGTTGTTGATACACTAGATGACGTACATACCTACGCGGCTAAAATAATAAAACTCCAACATTGATCGAAAGTTTGTTCAATTCTTGCATAGTTCTACTAACGTGTGCTATCGTTGACATAAGTTCTTAAGGATTGATCCTTATCATTCCAATGTGGATGAATTACATGTGAATAATTAAACACTGGTGGTACAGTTAAGATAGTATACTGACTTGCGTTTATTTTGAAATGATAAGAGTTAACATTTAAATAATGTTAAGATCAGTCTTTAAGTTATCCGTTGGATGTATCCTAAGCTATGCAAGGATTAAAATCACCCCAAACTTCGGGTATCTACTTGTAAAACATATCTCAGCCAGTCTACTGCGTAATTTCCGATATTACATTTCTCTTTTATATCCCTTTAACTTTTTCCTATAAGGCAACGCTTTTCTAACATACTTACGGTATAATGCGAGCAACGTCGGAAGGGAAAATTGTCACGTGCGATATGTGGTCGAGACTTCGTGAAATTCTGAGCGGAACAGGAAGTTTCAATGGTACTTCATTCACGCTTATCACCAACCTTCTTACGTGCTCATCTATCTATAAAACTCGTATTACGGAAAGCGTTCTATTCGGATAGTAATGCGGATTACGAAACTCGTAGTAGACACGCTGGGTGAGGCATCTTTAAGAGGTAGTTTTAAGCATAACTTAGATGGTGTATCGTTCTATACAGAAAATTTCATGTGATGTCCTTACGTGTTAAGTGTTGATTGTCGCACATGTGGATTAGAATCACGATGTGCGGTAGACTTACGGGTTAATCGAGTAATGATAAACCTTAGCAATTACACGATCGACTATGTTCGATTTATTCTGTGGCGATAGTATAAGTAAGTAAAGCCGTAATAGAAGTCCGCACAGAAGCGTCTTCGATGTTGCGTGACACATTATATTCTATCCTGGCAGTTTCATCAACGAAGCTAGATTTTCCTTCTGCTGGTTTATTTTTTTCGTTGAAAGAAATCGTTTGCAGGCTCGACAAAATTCGAAATTTTGCTCGTGTACAGACAGAAAGACGCTTCTTTAACGATAGTACTCTCAAAAGGTTAATCGATTCCTCAAACTTTAATTAATCATGGCACGTACATATCTGGGCGATGAAATCGTATTGAAGTTGCGATACGATACGGGAGGACACGATCGAAAGATGAAAGAATGAGAAAGTACGAGAATTCCATTTCTTTTTTCTTGTTGATTTAGCAAAATGCTCGCACAAAATTCAATTTTCTACAAACTAACAACTGTGGAAACAGACTTTTCTGTTCTAACGATACTAAATGATGATGAAACGTGTGCCGACGATGATCTATTCTGTGCAATCTTGTTTCAAATTTTATCAATTTTATTAACCAGCGTTTATTCTTTACTGATTTCTGTAGAAATTATGCGCGCGAATACCTTCCAGGACAGTGTGTTTCAACTAGATCGTTGATTCCTATTCGTTAGTCGAGAGAACATACGAAAGCTTCGGCTCGCGAGGTCACACGAGTGTAATCCATAAAAAAGTATGTGTATAGCTGAGTCAATAATTCTATTGAATGTTACAGATGAAAGTATAATAACATTATAATTTTACTGAAGAGAAACGATACAGTAGAACGACGGAATTTTTGCGATTCCTTTCGTTACTTGCAGTTTAAGCGTACGTAATTTTATCAATGTTGCAAATAAAACTATGATTCCAGAGTTTATCGAGATAGAGAGATACAGAGAAGTTTATAATGGTTCCTTCAAACTAACAAGTTAAATATCAGTAATTTTATCAGTGTTGCAGAATGAACAAATTATAGTCCCAGAGTTTATCACAGATCGGTGCACAATAAATCGCAATACACAATGATTCCTCGTTGAATATTATAGATTCCTCTGGCTTGAGATACAATAATGGAAAAAGTATTTCAATATATAATTCCTATAAAAATTATGATTTTATTGTAAGAGAAATAAATTGTATAATTCTATTAAAATGCTATTAAAAATGAAAATGTAAAAACGTATTGAAAATTTAAATACTTGCCCGATAACCAATAATATGTACGCGGTTGGAAATCACTGTTCTAGGAATAAAAGTACGAGAAATAATGAAAAAAAAAACGGATATAATGAAGAAACAAAGAGAGAACTTTAATAATCCTGATTAGGATCGATAATGAATCGAGGATGACACGAAAAGAAAAATACTTTGCGGAAGTCGCGTCAAATCTTAAGTAAAGCGTGTTTCGATGAAAGGTTGTTACGTCGCTGGTGATTTATTATTGTGCGTAACATAATGACTGATTTTTTGTAGTATGTATGGGCGCAAGTAAAGCGCGACGCGCGAGTCTTTCGAATTTTTCGCCCATTCCTCCTCTCGAGGAACTTTGTGGATTTGTGTACCCCATCCGTAACTCCAGTTGGCCTACTCCCTTAATAATAAAGATGTATAAACGGATATTGTACAAATACAGATATGACAAAAACGAAAACTTACAATTTCTTATTTTATTTCACTGTTATAACAAAATGAAATACATATACCATTAAATTTTTCAAAAACCTAGATATAGACTGACATATAATAGGAAGCATGTAAAAAGTACCTAAATAATATATGTTGTTCTGTGTATATTATTAATTTCATTTACTGTTATTAATATCCTTATTACTATCTTATTATAATATAATATTTAACATTTTTGTGTCCTAATATGTATGTCCTGCTTTTGACTAAAAACTTTTTTTTCCTGACTTATTGTTTATATATATTATTAATATATAATATATATTTAATATATATAATATTTATAATTTATATTTATCTTTATAATTATAATTAATATATATATTAATAAAATATATTTTATATAATATATATTATTAAAAATATGATATACTCTAACCCTAATACAATCATAATATTCGGAAGTTATATGGGATTTTTTTATTTTAATAAAACAACGTGAAGGTAATTCATTCGCATCTCTTTTTATGCATTCTTTTTATATATCAACATGGCCCTATAAATATTCATATACATATTTATTTTACTGCACTGTTGCTGCTTACAATTAAAAATTTGGAGAAAAAGAAAAAATGAACATGCGACTCACCGATCGTAGGTAATTCGAAATCGTACAGTTGCTAAGTGCCTTTGCATTATCCAGTTGCAGGATAATTTCATTCCACTCAATAGGTACACAGTCACTCACAGTTTATGCATATTGGTTTAAAAGACCTGTAATGAAATTCTATATTAGGTATTGATATAAATAAAACATTAAAATTTAACTAAATTACTAGATTTTTAAAATATATAAATATATAAAAATAATTATAATTATATAATAATAATATATATATTATATTATTATATATAATAATATATATAATAATATATGAATAGAAAAGAATAGAAGGAAATAGTAAACAAAAAAAGGAATATACAATATGAGCTCGTAAAAATGAAAAAAGTCTATATTATAATATACACATACTTTAATTAAACCATAAATGTATTACCAAAATTAAAAGTAAAAATTAGATCAAGGATAGGAAATGCTTAAAAATATAACTAAAAATTCAGATGAGGATACAGAAAATCCAATAAATTTAATTATTTATTGGATTAAAGGAGAATGTGAATTATATTTTCTATTATGTTATATTAACAAGCGAAACATGGAGACTTTGTCTATGTAAGATATAAATTGCAATAGATACAATTCATTTATTTGGAAGATTTTTCTCGAAATTGACGTTTGGACAATATGGCGCCATCTGTGCTATTCTACTGACTGACAATGAGCCAATGAGAATATACATATGAATTCCAAATAAAAGTGAATCTGGATAAATATGTTTCAATCTCTCCAATGTACATAAATACGTAATTAATAAATTAAATTGCTTTTCAATCTCATAGCATAATATTATCAAATCTATTTATAACTTCCTAAGTAGAAGCGATTGTGAATGCTTTAAGTCAATATATATACATAAAAGGAGAATAATTAAATGTATAAATGCATATTCAATTGCTATTATTTATAAAGTGTTTATTATTATGTATGTTACCACGAAAGTTGGAATCAAAAATAATCCGTATAATAATTTGTATCAAAAATAATGAATTACGTTTGTGATTTGAACAACAATTGAAGTGTAAATATATGTCGAAAATTGGCGCGAAAACAATCTGGTTCGTAAGTATACATTTTCTATTATATTATGTAAATTCATAATTTATAGTACACTGATAACATATAATCAAAAGCTACGAAAATTATATTAAAAAGTGAGTGATTAATACAAATATACATACCATTTGAAACGAATAATCTGTGGCTTATTACGAACTACGCCAAACGGACAACTTCGCACAATGACATACAAGGAAAGACTGGCTAACGTTTATTTTCAAATATTGAGCACTAGAGTTCGCATTTGCCTCGATGAATCTAGTAGTGGGGAAACTGATGTATCCAAATACTGTATCGTGTGACCATTGTTTATATGTAGTAGTGTTTCGTACCTTTAGGTCGATCACCATGAATTTGAAAATTACACGAATTCAAAGATGTTATGTGGACTTTAGTAACATTATATTTCATTTTTCGATTATTTATGGGCACTACATATACTTTTATTACTTTTGTATTTTTTTATCTTTTATATTAAAACGTAGAATTATACATTTTTGATATATTTTTGATATTTCATTTTCTTTCATATTGACATACGTCAATATATAAGTATTATATATATATAATATATATATATATAATATATATATATAATATATATATAATATATATAGTATATATATAATATATACAATATATATAATATAATAATATAATAATATAATAATATATAATATATATATATAAGTATAAACAAGTTGTGATTTGATTTAGAATACGGACGAGATATAGATATACGATAGACCTGAGATGCAATAACAGATGTAATACTTCTTCATATTCCACGGTTGCAACATCGACAAATAAGAGACAATTTCGTGACTTTCCTGTCAAATGCGACGTTGCCGATTCTGACTTTACTGTCAAATGCGACGTTGCCGATTCAGGGTCAATTAAGATTAGAGCGCCAAAAACCAGGCGAGGCACAGAAATAGGCACACGACTATGATACGTTGTATTACATTACATATCGCTATATCGATTATTATCGATATATAATTTCTTCTAATCGATTTATGCCGCCATGAAATGACAGTTTTACGCGGGAACTGCAGTAAGAAGAAGCATTATGGAAGTCATTGGGTAAAGATTAAACTAAGTCGTTTTTAGATTTATTTTTGCATTACTGAATATCTTTTTTATTTAGGGGGATAATTTTAGATCTTAGAGAGATAAAGAAATTCAGTTTAATCACGGAAATTGGTACAATTAGAAGCAGACGAGGTATGAAAAGACGAGATACTATGGACAACGACGAAGAAAAGGATTTTTGTTTCTTGCGATTTGGGAAACGAAGTGAGTAATTGAATATAATTACAAAAACGCAAATTATTATTGTAGACGAAATAGAGAATTCCATATACACATAATACTTGTGTTTATCTTTCATGTTTTATGTTTCATCGTATTTTTGTTAAAGGTTTTTCACAACCTCCATTTTCACCATGGGGTTCAATGCATTCATGATAACTTCTTCTGAGCCACAGCAACATTGATAGTATCATAACCTGCAGTTAATCGTGAGTCGAATACAGTTTTATTCCTCCGTTCATCCAATCATGTTGGGACGATAGGTCCGAATCGACACGGATGAGTAGTTGTATTACGTAGAATTTTTGGCGAGTATGTGACCACGAGTATTAATTACACATACTCGTGAGTAGTAATACCTTATTTACTTTATGTATTAGTTCAGGATGGGGTCTTCTTGCATACATATATCGCGATTCTTGATGATAAAAATTTTATATCGATAGTATTAATATAATCCGAGAAAAATCAGAATTTATTCAACATCGATATTTGCAAAAGTTTGTTATAAAAGTAAATATTAAAATTGCGTAAATTACAAAATGTCCCTGCAGAGAAGTCGGATATCCTCCGACTTCGATTATTTTAAGCTTGAGTATAAGTTTACATATCATGATATTAAAGTTCGATGTTCATTATACAAAAATGTTAAATACCAAATATTAAATGCAAGAAGACACTTCGCGGTAGGTAGATTTCAGAATCAAAGCAATAAATTTTAAACATTGCTTTCATGTATTCGAAAAAGTGCTTTGATGAAGGAGTCGCCTGTAGTTATTTTCATTTATGTTTAACTTAAAGTCACTTATCCTTACAAATACATTTCTGGTTCACTTGCAATTTCTTTGTTTCAATGAGAGAATATTAATTGCTTATCGAATTAGTAAAGTAAAGCATAAAGTTTTAACAATTTAAAATAAAATTTTTAAATGCAAATTGTAAGATCATTAGTCCGTTAGATGAAAGCTAGAAGCGTTAATCATTTTTTAGTTTAGGATTTTCAGGTTTAACACTTTTCGTGATCATTGCTTGGATCTTGCTCATATGCTGTTTGGGCTAGGTACTGGCAATGGGCACGAACAACTGACGATGGTTAGTGCATCGTGCGCGTGATTTCAAATAACATGATTTCTTTAGCATACACAAAATACTCTTTCACAATTATAAACTCATGTATGCTTAAAATCGAGATATATACGTAGTTTATTGTGTTTTACGTAATGGTTCTAGCCATCGTCAGTTAATTTCAGGAAGAAAGTACATAAAGTCAGTAAGTATAAGAGTGCGAAAGTATAAAATATAAAGTGTGCTGAACTTGGGTGTGGGGGATGTCTCAGAGTGGTATGTATGAGAACCGTGGAGTGAATATGTTAGTGTATTTGTCCTTTGCCATTTTTTAAATATAGAGCTAGATAGACACACTGCCTGGTATGAATGTTAATTATAAGTATAAGTAGGTTGTGCCAGAGCAGTTTGACACAGTCTCCAAGTCGGATAGGTGCGTTCTCCCGTAACCAACCTGCTTCTGTTATTATAACTTGAAAAATCGATAGAACTGGCATAAGCGAAGAATGCCACTCGTCTTTGGCTTTACTTATTGATTTTTTAAATTCATATTCGCGGTCGTGGCTCTGAAGTAGGTTTCGAAACAGACGTATATGGCTCTAGATTCTGTTCTTATGTTTTATTAATACTGTAATTACTATGATTGTTGCACATATGTACCAGGGTGGTTAAATTCCGCGAATTTTTGTTCTTTCCTTTTTTGTGATTAGAGACTCTCGAGAGTCTACATTTAGGTTTCAGCAGGAAAGACGAAAGAAGAAAGAAGAGGCTATAAGCCGAAGAGGCCCGACAAATTGTCGTTCAAGAGGGCAACTAATAATGGCTCCATATCCTCCGGGTCATTTAAATGATTCAGAGCATGTGAAGTCATTTCTGTTACTACATTGTCACTATGCTCGCTTTTAGTTTTAGTAGTAGT